AATTAGGTTAACCTTGTTTCCCCCCCCCCCTAGGATGAGACCCACAACAGTCGACTAACACCCAGCAGGTACCTACTTACTGCTAGGTGAACAGTGACAGCAGGTGTAAGGAAACATGCTCAACGTTTCATCCGTGTCAGGGATCGATCCCGGACACTCAGCTGACGATACCAAACAAGCCACCAGCACCTTCTCTCTTCTCTGTATATTTAATAAGGTTATAACAGGGCAAATTATATGTATTACAGGCTGCCTTATAGTAATATATTTTACAACTACTGTTTTAGAGAGGTTGTTAGCGCACTCGCCTCACACTAAGTATTCGTGGTTCAGTCTCTGGCATGGCAGAAATGCTGGGCATCTTTATAGCTGTTGTCCCCGGGCACCTAGCACCTGGTGGTTCACACTTACACTCACTCACCCATTTGACCATAAACTGAAATATTAATCTCAATCTTAAAATAATGAATCCTATGCTACTCCAATACTAAAACTATGTACTGTGCCAAAACAAAAGCATTCACATTGCTAAACTCACAAACTAGTATTTAGTCACTTAGCCATAATACCAACTTACCTCATAATTTGTAATATTTTAAAATAAAGAATTAATTTAAGTCTGCCCGAAATACCTAGCCATGCTAGGTGTTCTAGTGGCACCCTCTGTAATTATTATTTTACTACATGTAAACCACACAATAACCAAATTCTGTAAACTCAGCATTGTAATCCTTATAGAGAATAAACTTTGAATTTGAATTTGAAAGTAGGCACCAGGGTGTTTGTCAACTAGTGGGTCGCATCCTGGGAGGGGGTTATACCTCACATTGGGCTGGACCTTTGAGATGAGCTGCGGTTGGACATTATTATTATTATTATCAAGGGGGAAGCGCTAAGCCCGGAGGATTATACAGCGCCTGGGGGGGGGGATGTGGAAGGCATTCAGGCTTAATTCGGGAAACTGCGGTTGGACAGCAGCTCTTAGCCTGTAAAATTGATCTGTAAAAAAAATCCTCCAAGCTCCATGTATAATGTATAAAAAATTGATCACTATACAGAATGGATACAAGTAGAAAAAACGGTTAAGAGGAATAGTATTATTATTATTATTATTATTATTATTATTATTATTATTAGTAGTAGTAGTAGTAGTAGTAGTAGTAGTAGTAGCATTATCAAAAAGAAATAGGATTTTAGGAAGTATAAAATTTCTATTGAGCAAGTGTTAATTTTATTCTTACCTATTAATGGAAGGTGTGGGAAGGTTTTTCTTCCACAAGTCTTAATAGATATTCATCACAACAACAGTAAACATCAGCAATACTAATAACTTTCATTTGTTTCCAAAGAACATTATTATGACAGTAATAGCGAAGCTCTAGACCCACTGGGGTCATACATCTCTGCAGGATATAATGTGCTAATTGTGGAATATTCCCGTAGATCCAGCTGTATAATCCTCTGGGTTTAGCGCTTCCCCCTTGATTATAATAATAATCCCGTAGATCCAGTGCTAGCACACTCAGCTCACACATGAGGTCAGGGGTTCGATCCCCGGTACAAGTAGAAACATTAGGACGTGTTTTCTTAAGACACCTGCTGTCCCTGTTCACCTAGCAGTAAGTAGGTACCTGGGTGTTAGTTGACTGGTGTAGGTTGCATCCTGGGAACAAAATCAACCGAATTTGCCTGAAATGCTCAGCATAAACTACTTTCTATATAGTAGTATGTAATTGATGTTATATAAGACTGTATATCTTGTACATATACTTGTAGAAATAGATATTATTATTACTTATTTTTTATCAGAGATCAGCAGTTGTGAAGAGTATGACAGAGGTAGATATATTATGATAATCAAGGGGAGCGCTAAACCCGTTGGATTATGCATCGCCTGTGGGGGGGATGTGGAAGGTATTCAGGCTTAATTCAGGGAACCAGAGCAGATCCAATTCCCTAGATCAAGAGCCCCTCACCAACATCAAGGAACCTTCCTTGAAGGGGACAGGTAGAGTCAAGAGAACAAAAATTTTCCCATTTTATATCACTGTTCTCAACTTTTTATTTCCTCCAAACGGTAATTTTCGAGGGTTACAGACTGGAGAATCCCTAAACACATTATTAAGTAATTTACCAATTAACAGGAAACACTAAGGGTATATTTAATTTAGCTCAAGTGAAGATGTAGCCACCTGTTTGTAGTTGCAGGAGTCAAGTCACATCTCCTGGCCTTGTCTCTTGGCTGTTTGCTACTAGGTTCACTTTTTTTTACCTCTGTGAGGTTAAGTGAGGTGTTGACTACCACCAGATATAACTCTCACTACTGAACAACAGCCTCTGTGCAACACCTGCAGTGAAACTACCACTTAAACTAGTTATAATAATAATTGAGCTACATGACAGTCACTTGGTCATCCTGCTGTTATTGTTCACCCATAACACTAGTATGTTCATGTTCATCCCAAATTATGCCATTCACATAACCGACATTTTTGGTATATGTATTTGTTAATAAGCCACAAAAAAAATGGACTTGCAGGCCAGTAGTTGGGCATCCTGCCTAACACCATTGGTCAATAATACTTGTAATACTCTAAAAGTGTGATGAGAGTAAACCCTCAGTCTTTTATTAGCTAGGTTATAATATCAACAGTGAGAATACCTAAAGGGAGACTATAGATAGGATATATTATTATAACTATTATAATCAAGGGGGAGCACTAAACCCGTAGGATTATATAGTGCCTGTGGGGGGATGTGGAAGGTATTGTGGTTTATTTCAGGGAACTGAAGCACAGATCCAATTCCCTAGATCAAGAGCCCCTCACCAGCATCAAGGAACCTTCCTTGAGGGGGACAACAGGATACAACAGTGAACAAAGTGAATAGTAAGACAGAGAGAAGTAAGAAAGGTTAAGTAACCTGGCCACTTTGGATGGATTTTAAGTGTTTTTAGGTACTCTACCCCAGCTGGGGTTTTAGTCCTTGTCTACATTAATCACACACATTAGTGAAATGGATCGTTAAGTTTATATCCTTTCGACTACACTTGAGCACCACTATCATGAGCAGTCCTTAAATTATCGATTTATACCTGGAGGACGTTCATGGGGTCACCACCCCCGCTGCCCAGTCCGTGACCAGGCCTTAGAGTATAAGTACCAAGAAATACATCTCGGTGAAAATATACTAGGATACACACTAATCAGTACATATATATATACCCTAAGATAAACACCTCCCAGAATATGTACACTAACTATATACCCTGAGATCAAAAAAAATCAAAATCAATATGTTTATTTCCTTGTAAAGCTTACAATGTGTGGTTTACATTGGGCGTGTTTCTTTACACTGGTTGTCCATATTCCCATTCAGTAAAATGGGTACCTGGGTGTTAGTCGACTGGCATGGGTCGCATCCTGGAACACTGACCTAATTTGCCCGACATGCTCTGCATAACAAGGGGCTTTCTATATAGTAATATGTCATTGATGTCAGCTAGGCCTGTATACCTTGTACATGTACTTGTAGTAAATAAAGATATTATTATTACAAAGAAGGCCACTAATATGCCTAGGCATTTCGGGCAGACTAGTACTAATTCTTACTCTGTATTGATATAGGTTATGGAGCAGTACATTTGAACATACATTATTAGATACATACATAATTAGATACATATGTACCTAATTAAGTACATACATAACTAGATTCAAAATAGGTAGTACAAATCATATAATAATATTACAAATGGTAGATTTAGTGATGGGATTGGATTTGTCTTGGCATGTTACACTGTTTCTGTTAAAGCTTATATACTGGAAGAGTATCTTAGGCAAACTTAGGACTAACTTGAGATTTAATAGGCAATAGCTATATATTAAGAATTGGAGTACGTATATATACTAATGCATAAACCTTGAGATAAATACCTTGCAGGGTATACACTAAGATAAACACATCAGTGTATATACAATAAAAGTTACCTCTCAGTGTATGTACACGATATAATATATGCCGAGATAAATACCTTATTGTATATACACTAAGAAACATTTCTCAGTGCATATATACTAAGAAACATTTCTCAATATATGTACCTTATAAGACAAATACATGTATGTGTATATACGTACACTATGAAACAATCAACTTGGCTGTGTATATACTAAGAGATGCATCTCAGTATATATATACTCTGTAAATCACTTACGGGTCAGAAGAGGGGGTTCACTCAGTAAATATGCTCAATAAGCGTTTACTCATTACCAGCGGTGGCTCGTAACTAAAATTAGTGGAGGTGCTGCTTCAGAAAATTTTTAGCCATTGCGAATATCAGGTGTTGTACGGCCTCTTTTCTTAACTATAACTTTCTCATGGAGAGACAACTGTGAAAACTTAAGCTGTTGAAGTTCACTTACAGTCACAGAACTTATTTCTTGGGGATACAAGGAAGCCATGATTAAATTATTTACATTTTCTGTAAAATAAAAGAACCCCAAAAAATATGAATTAAATAAAATAGCTGGAAGCATGTTAATCATCTAATTCTACACTTTACCACATGGTACATGGTTTTTAAGCACAACACACGTCACTGAGTCAAAATGAAACACTACCTTACACTTGCACAACAGGGTCAGCACTGCATCAACGACAGTGCTCTCACTACCTAGCATGCAGCATCTTATCTTGGTCATGTGTGCATGCGCACAACAGCCAAACACCAAGTCGCTGGGACTGGGAAGCACACACGCGGTGCATACAAGGATTTTTCTAATTTTTTCATGCACTAGGGGATAGCTACTGACATTAAGCTTAAGAATTATGTAATGTACAAGTATAAAGAAAGAATTAAAGAAAAAACTCATTATATTGAATGTTATCGATAATATCTAGTGAAAATAGGGGGTGCTGTAGTGCCTATACACGAGTCACCACTGCTCATTACATATGTAAAGGGTATATACATTTAACTGGGGTAAAAAAAATACCAGTCTCTTGATATTCCTTTTATTGATAAAGTAACACTTAATTTGTGTCAACATATTTTTGTACTTTTTTTCATTGCTCATATTTTTTTGTATTTTTATTGTTTGCAATTAATAATATTAAGTGTGACTATTTACAGTGTAAGAGATAATCCATTTCGGTCAGTCGTCAACGAAGGTCCACAGAGCCAAATACAGTACCTTTAACATTATTATGAACTTGGCTCCACTTAACATATATGTTTTTTTATGAAGCAGGTGAATACAAATAATGATTATGCATTTAAAATATAATGTATAATTTTCAAGTGATGAGAACATGAAGCCAGAGCTTTAATAATGTGAAAGGAGCTGATGCATATCCAAGTCTAGCAAGGGTCATCAACAAATTAAATCATATTGTTTTCAATTTATTTTGTCATTAAATTTTAGAGCTAGTGTCTATCAGATTCATCTGTCGAGTCAACAGTTTCGATATCTTCAAGGATTGGCATATCACCCATATATTCTTTTGGGCCATCATTACACCTCTGGCATTGACATTCTATAATGTTGCTATAGACAGGGCTGAAGCTTACCCCTGAGTCACATCTCAATGGCACGCGTATCTTTTCCATCTTTGAAGGTTTACAACAGAAGCATGTCGAGACATGCGTTGCTTGTCGACCTGAAAAGAAATCACAGCCTTTAAAGTTGATTACATGAAAGATTATTGGCTGAATACTACATATAATCTGCCTTGACCTGAGTTTTGAATATTGAAAACAAACTAAACACTGAATGCTGGACACACCATGGGTGTTTTAGGGTTAAGAGATGCACTAGTCCTGAGTTGTTAATTAAAATGAGTGAATGTTGTGCAGAAGCAGCTGGTGGTTTCCAGAGAAACATAAGACATTAAGGTTATAAATACTGCACACAATGCTGAAACAAACAAGGATGAGTTTTATAACAAAAAATTTAGAGGGAGAAAAACAATTCAAGCTGGGGTGGCTTGATGCTAGTGAAGGACTTTTGATCCAAGGAATTGGAATCAGCTTCCCCTTCCTTTAACCCTTTCAGGGTCGACAGGCCCTTTCCTAAACTTGTTCTCAAGGTCGGAAATTTTTCGAAAAAAAAAAAAAAAATATTTTTTCTTATGAAATGATAGAGAATCTTTTCCCGATCATAATGACACCAAAAGTATGAAATTTGATGGAAAACTTATGGAATTATGCTCTCGCAAAGTTAGCGGTCTCAATGATGTTTACACATCGGCGATTTCGCCCACTTTGAGCCCTATTTTTGGCCAATTCCTATGTACCAGTCGACAAAAATCATAACTATTTTGCTAGAACTCCATTTTCTCTATCAAATGAGTACAAGAAACCACCCATTTACCAATTTCAAATATCCAATTAAGTGGTCAGAAATTGTAAATTTTGCCAATTTCACACAAATTTCAAAAGATGCCAGTTTCCAAACAGGGTCCAGAATAAACAAGACAGACATTCCTGGCACTAAAATAAAAATTTTTCTGTTCATTAGTCACGTCCCCAGGCCTCTCTTACATTTCTTTTGCTTTCCACTTCGAATTTTTATTTTCCCAAAAAAAAGATTACTTACCCTGACTACTGCATTAGTGTGGAAATGGTATAAATAATATCAGCGCACTTGTGATAGAATATTAGACTCACTAGTTGATGTGTATTGGATGCGTGGCATGATTTGTTTATTTTTGAACTTTGGCAAAAATCGAACATTTCTGCTACTTTGAGCTCAATTTCAAGGTACTTTTCATTGTGAAACAAATCAAAATCATCTCAATTTTTGTAATATGTCTTCCATTCTATAAAATGAGACTAGGAAAACTAGAATACAACCATAAAAAGCATATGAAAATACAGTGCAAAGTTGCTGTTTTAACCCCTTCAGCGTCCAAGGCCAAAATCTGAAGTGGTGCTCCAGTGTCCAAGAAATTTAAAAAAAAAAAAAAAAAAAAAATTATTTTTTCTTACAGAATTAAAGAGCATATTTTTGTGAAGGTAATATGACAAAAAAAAAAAATTCTGATCAGTACTTACCGAGATACAGTGCCAAGAAGTTTGTCAAAAATGATGTGGTGGCGGCAACATCGACGAATTCCACATACGCACATTACATTATTTTGCGGTTTTTACATTTTTTCTTTTCTTTTCCAATTTTTTTCTATTCCTACTAACATTTGGGGCCTGAGAGACCAATACTGTATATAATGTATACAATGTACAGTGGACCCCCGCTTAACGATCACCTCCAAATGCGACCAATTATGTAAGTGTATTTATGTAAGTGCATTTGTACGTGTATGTTTGGGGGTCTGGAATGGACTAATCTACTTCACAATATTCCTTATGGGAAAAAATTCGGTCAGTACTGGCACCTGAACATACTACTGGAATGAAAAAAGTTCGTTAACCGGGGGTCCACTGTATATATAAACTCACTGTATTGAACACAATAACCGCACTAAAGTTATTATCATATTATTGTTTACCACTGTTGTTTATTACAATAAACATGCGCAAATCTTGTATAATACTAATGTTCTATCATATATTTACATATTTACAATCACTGGACATGGTTTTAGAACTGCTGGAGCTTGTGGAACTCCTTGAAACAAGGCACCATGCACAGAGGCACCTTAAATTCTCACACATAAACTGAGTGTCTTTGCGTCTTTGTTGCCGTCGTTTTGTTTGTGCACAGACGATGCATCTCTTCTGAGCAAATTTCTTTGGTTGAAGGAAGTTGTATTATGAAATGATCACCTTCCCTCCTCAAACGCTTGGGTATATCCTGAGTAATTCGAGGACCTTGTTGTATAGTAGGTGTTCTTACCTGGTACTTCATTATGAGTTGCCTGACAACAGACAAACAAAATTCACCATACGGTGGTCTGTTGCCAGTCTTTATTTGGTACATATTTATGCATTGAGCATTGAAATGTCCATGAGAGGGAAAAGAAAAGTTTCTAAAACCCTTGTAACTCTTACGAACACAGTCAACAAAACCAATCTGCATGTCACATTTGTCAACCCCAAGCCATTTTTTTGTGTATAATCAATCACTGTCACGGGTTTTCGAATATTTTCATTAGTCACTCGATCAACTTTGCCACTGTCTTGCATTTCATTACGGTGAATGGTTGTCAAAAATTTGGAAACATCCGTTTGTATGCCACTGTAATGCCATGATGTCTTTGGCAGTAAACACCTGCACGTCATCACCACCGACCACCTGCGTGAGCCTGGCATATGTTTATGATTAGAACGCACTGTGCCACACACATCTGTCTTGTTCACTTGCATGAAATCACTGAGTAATGGGCTTGTGTACCAGTTATCGGTATATTTAAAGTATGCCCCTTACCAAATAAGGTGCCATCATGTTTCTCACTACATCACCTGAGATACCCAATAACATCTTGGTATCTTTCAATGTTTTACTAACCCCTGTATACAACAATATCCAACACCAGGCCACTGTCCACAATCACAGAGTACAAACAGTTTTATACCAAAGCGTTTCCTCTTGCTCGGTATATACTGCTTGAATGACAGTCTACCTTTGAACAAAATCAAAGACTCGTCAATTACAAGATTCTTGAATGGATAAAAGTATATGCTGAACTTTTGTTTGAGATACATGAAAACATTTCTAATCTTGTATAAACTGTCACTTCTGTCAGGCCTGGTTTTGTCAGAGAAGTGCAACATACGTAAGAGTAAGATAAACCTGTTCACTGGTATGATTGATATGGTTGATCAGGCTCTGATCCACCAGGAGGCCTGGTCACAGACCGGGCCGCGGGGGCGTTGACCCCCGGAACTCTCTCCAGGTAAACTCCAGGTGATTTCACTGAAGACCGGGGTAGAAATTAGCCGATCTGTGGACCAGTATGCTTTTATATTATGCTTATACACATGAGGCATAAGCATTATTGTTGCAAAAAGCATATACATTTCTGCAACAGTCGTCTCTTTCCACCTGTGTAGTCTTGACTGTGGTGATAAGATCGTATTTGCCATGGTGTACTCAAAATACTTATTACTTTCCCTGACAATAGTTTCCATCAATGGCTGGTCAAAGAATAATTCAAAGAATTCCAGTTCATTGGCCGTAGTTCCAAGGGGACAAGTAGGTAGAATTCCACTTTGAGAGTCATCAAAGGGTGAGGCTTGGGAACAAAATTGGGATTTTGCTGCCCAAACCCACATACGGTTTGCTGGTGGATACTGGACATCATAGGCTGGTTGTGCGGGTAGTTGTGGTTGTGGTGGGCGGTGGCTGACCTCCGCTTTGTCCTTGAACTGACGAGTCAGCACGTGGGTCCCAGCGTGGGCTGGTGAGTCATGCATGGGGGTGCCACTACCATCACCACTAACACCATCCACTGATGCCTGTGGTCTATCCATGCCCCAAATGTAGCCACATCATCCTCACTATCACTACCTAAAACTGGTGTAGGGCCACGGGATGTACTCCGGGATGTACTCCGTCCCCTGGGCACAGCATAGGGTACACTACCCGAGTGCATGCAGCGGCGAACATACCGACGCTTCACTGGTGAATATGATTCCTCACTATCACTACTCAAATGATCGTCGAGCGCAATAAAATCACAATCCACGTCACTATCATCATCATTACTGAAGTCAGAGGCCTGGCCACGCGAAAATATTAGTTTTCTCTTGCGTTGAGGAACAACCGACCGTGAGTCACGAGTGCCCACACCAGAGGCAGAAGGTTGAGGATCGTCAGGGTTTTCTGCACTATTATCGATATCCTGGTCATTCTTTTCGGTCACTAACTGATCAAAGCCGTAGAATTCGTCTTCATTTCCACTTCCATCAGTGTCAGAACTATCAGATAGGAAGAGGAGAGTCCCAATTTTCTGGGGAGTGAGAGCTGACTTGCGACGAGGCATGGTGAACAAGGGTAACTGAGCCGGCGTTCCCACAATGCTATGCGGGCGCCTAGATTTTTTGTTTATGGCGCACACCCACCACGCAGACCCGTTCTCTCACATGTAGGCCTATGAGCATTTTCGCGCTAAATTTAACGGCACTAGATTTGGCGTAGATCTACGGTTTGGACACTCAACGTGAAGCCGTAGATCTACGGGACGGACCCTGAAAGGGTTAAAGCAAAAACACGGTTAGAGTTTCTTTTTCTCATTATGCACTGTGTGCTGCAGGTTTTTTTTTATGCTGTGCACACTGACCACATAGACCCATTCTTTCATATGTAGGCCTACCAGCTTTCTCTCGCTAGATTTAAAGGTGCTAGAATTTATGCATACTAGTACAGCACCAACCCTGGCGTGCAAGATGTACTAGTACGGCACCAACCCTGAAAGGGTTAATCAAACCTGATTATTCCTCTCCTCCCATTCCTCAGATACTGTATAACCCTTTTGGATTTAGAATGTAGGAAAAAAAATCTTCCCTTACTGACCTGCTATATACAGTAGGCAGAAACAATATAGTATTAGTGCCTGATACATATCAGATAATTTCTGCCAGTATAATTCTATTGGCAGTAATTACATTAATAAACCTTCTGAAAATAACAAATGTTGCAAATTACTACGATTAGCAACTTACCTTGACCCTCGAACATGGTGAAGGAATCACAGTGTCCTGAACACTGTCTAAAATCTGGGACAGGAGCGTGATTTTTACATGTTCCAACATGTCTTGTGGATATTTGGAAAATCCCAATAGTTTCATGAGGAGGCATGGGCTTCGGCTTGCAGTCTCCTAGGTTGTATACAATGTGCAAAAATATATTAAAAAACTGAAAGACTGCAATGTTTTTAGAACATATTCAAGGAAAATACTAAAAGAACAGTGTTATTTAAAGAACGTTAAAGACAGTAAAGGTATCCTCTGATGCACAGGTTCACAATTTTTCAACATATCCTTAATACCTTTCCTTATGAACACTATTATGCAGCAAAAGGTATACTAATGTTTACCATTAAAGTGAGTAAAATCAAAATTAATAGAATTCTGTACATGCCTGGCAGTGCTATTACTTTGCCTTACATTATTTGGAATATCCAATAAAAACCCATAAAACAGACCAAATGGGGAAGGAGAGGGGGTGACAGGCATACACTGCCCCTCAGGAGAATTGCCAAAAATATAACATTTCCACCACTTTCAGGATTATTTCTGGCCACTGCTGATTCAAAACTGACCAAAATCACCTTCCTTTTACCAGTATGTCTTTCAGCCTATCAAGTGCCCCAAGAAACAGCCAGTAAAACCATGAAAACTACCCTAGAATATGCCTCAAATATCCCATTATAACTCAAACACAAGGTCAGAGGTTAGCTATTCCCATCATGCAATGCATGGGGCATTTTTTTTATATTGTGCACACCGACCACACACCCATTCTCTCATGTCTAGGCCAAAATTTACTAATCACAGTATATTTAAGGAAACTATGAATAAGACATTGATCTCTGTCTGCAAAGCTGATCCCAATGGCATAGTAAAAGTGTCAACATATAAGAGACTGCACTGCAAGTATTGTGTTAGCTTATTTGACCCCTAAAGGGGGGCCCTTATTCCAGTAAAAGGTTTTTTGATCAGGGAATTGGGGCCTTTTCCCTCCTGGACAAATAAATTGCCTTCCATTCCCATGTGTGGTGGGGAATGTAAAAGTATCAATATGACATGAAAGTGAAGCCAAAGGTGGTTGGGGGTTATCAGTAAAAATGAAATAGGTTGTTGAAGGTGACAGAAGAAATGATTTTTTTGCGTAAGGAAAAAACTTCATGGAAAGACATGAACAGTTAAAGTGGGTGCTCTCTCGGGGTTTTGGTGCAGTAAGAAAAGTACTTTACTTCAGCATGATACAAGTTTGTACAGAGGTGATGCCATTTGGGTGTGCATCAGAAACCCTTTAATATGAGAGATTTCGGCAAACAAGGTTAAACTAATTTATGGTACACACAGGGGCATCCCCACTCAAAAAAAAAAAAAAACAGACATAGCCCCCCCCCAAAAGGGGGGGGCAGAAAAAGCAACTCCAAAGAAAAAGACTGATAGCACTAAGAAGCAGATCCCACTCATCTAGATCCCTCAGTTTTACAACCCGGGCAAAAGTGGGTTTAGAGCAGGTCGTTCCCGTTTTGTCCCCGTACGGGGGGCATCGACAAGGTCTGGATGTCTAGAAGACAGCAAAGTGAGATGTGTATCAAAACTTTGCAAAAGCCTTTGACGAATGTGCCATGGTGTAAAAGCCCCAAAATGCAAGATAAAGGAAAACGGAAAATTGGTAGATGGATGTATGATTTCCCAACAAACAGAAAAAAAAAGAGTAGAAACAGAGTAAAGTTGAGGGCGTATGTGAAAAACTTGTTCCCCAAAGGAAGTCTTGCTTCCATTTCCCGTTCACATCCCCTATTGATATGAAGGGGGTGTAGGTACAGACCCGTTTCCTTTTAGATGCACTTAAATTTTCATGGGGTGTCTTTTTTGAAGTATGCAAGATCAAGGAGCATCAAATAAATTTTTAAGGGGGCAGAAACTATATGAAGTTCAATTACTCTGATATGGAAAATGTGAGGAAATTAAAATTATATTGGAGTATGAAACAAATTCCAATCACACATAGAGTAAAAAACTAGTGTAAAAGACCTGGGAGCAATAATGTCAGAGGATCTCACTTTCAAAGACCACAACATTGCATCAATCGCATCTGCTAGAAAAATGACAGGATGGATACCTGGAGTTACCTGGAGAGAGTTCCGGGGGTCAACACCCCCGCGGCCCGGTCTGTGACCAGGCCTGCCAAACTAGGACTGCCTAGCCCATGATGACACCCTTCAGGTCGCTTGTTCTATTTAGGTTGGAATATTGCTGCACACTAACAGCACCTTTCAAGGCAGGTGAAATTCCTAACCTAGAAAATGTACAGAGAACCTTCATGGCACACAGATCTGCGATAAAACACCTCAATTACTAGGAAGGCTAGAAGTTCCTCAACCTGTATTCTCTAGAACATAGCTGGGAGAAATACATGATTATATATACTTGGAAAATCCTAGATGGATTAGTACCAAACTTGCACATGAAAATCACTCCCTATGAAAGCAAAAGACTCAGCAGATGATGCAACATCCCCCCAATGAAAAGCAGGGGTGCCACTAGCATGATAAGAGACAACACAATAAGTGTCAGGGGCCCAAGGCTGTTCAACTGCCTTCCAGCATACATAAGGGGGATTACCAATAGACCCCTGGCTGTCTTCAAGAAGGCACTGGACAGGCACCTAAAGTCAGTACCTGACCAGCCAGGCTGTGGTTCGTATGTTGGGTTGCATGCAGCCAACAGTAACAGCCTGGTTGATCAGGCCCTGATCCACCGTGAGGCCTGGTCACAGACTGGTCCACGGGGGCGTTGACCCATGAAACCCTCTCCAGGTATACTTTAGGTAAGAGACCTGAACTATAAAGTGTAAGTCTGAAAACTGCAGGAGTTTAAGAACTAAAATATGAAGAGTGCAAAGCAAATCATCAGCACAAGAGCAAGAACTAATAACATTGAATGTTTTGTGAAGATCATTATTGAATAATAAAACATCAGTAAGGTACTTCAACTGTGAGGAACATCACAGTTGATGGAGAAAGTGGCAGAAGCCAAGACCAAATAAAAGGAATTCCTTTGCAGTTAAGTTCTAGTAATTTTTTTAATCTGGTTAGGTATAATGGTTTTAATGTCATAAATAAGACTTGTTGTGCTTCCTACACCCACATGGATGAAAATAAAATAAGGAGTCAAAATAATAATTAACAGATGGAAAGACACCCACTTACTTTTTTCTTGTCTTGTAATGTTGCACAATTTGCAACAACCCAAGTCATCCATATAAATTTCCTCCTCAGGACACTCTGGGTCAAAGTATGGACATTCCTTTTTGACAGCAATAGTAGTGAGAACATCATTACGGGTCTCACAGCTGTACTCAAAACAGACATCTCCTTCACTTTCCCAGCGTTCACCAATGGAGTAAGATTTGCCATCATCAACACAGTGTGTCTTTAGGCATTTACCACAACACTCATTACTGGTTAAAAAGAAAAAATAAATCATATATTAGATAAGGGATAACAATCCTTTCAGCTATCTCTTACTGCTGAATTGAGAAAAATTATTCAGGACATCTATACACATTCTAGGTAGTAGGTTGGTAGACAGCAACCGCCCAGGGAGGTACTACCGTCCTGCCAAGTGAGTGTAAAACTGAAGCCTGTAATTGTTTTACACGATGGTAAGATTGCTGGTGTCTTTTTTTTTCTGTCTCATACACATGCAAGATTTCAGGTACGTCTTGCTACTTCTACTTACACTTAGGTCACACTACACATACATGTACAAGCATATATATACACACCCCTTTGGGTTTTCTTCTATTTTCTTTCTAGTTCTTGTTCTTGTTTATTTCCTCTTACCTCCATGGGGAAGTGGAACAGAATTCTTCCTCCGTAAGCCATGCGTGTTGTAAGAGGCTACTAAAATGCCGGGAGCAAGGGGCTAGTAACCCCTTCTCCTGTATATATTACTAAATGTAAAAGGAGAAACTTTCGTTTTTCCTTTTGGGCCACCCCGCCTCGGTGGGATACGGCCGGTGTGTTGAAAGAAAGATCTATACACATAAAGTTTCTACTAATAAGACAGATTTGACCTAGACAAACTCTAGATTAAAATAGACAAGTCAGACTTACATTATAATTTAAGTGTATAAAGCATAAAAATACTGTATGTAATTAGCTTGAGTCTATACTGTAAGATTCACTCCTGTACAGTAACTGCAGTCTACACTAAAAAGTTTACTCCTATACAGTAACTGTAATTCACTCTTACACAGTATCTGCAGTCTACTTTATAAAGTTCACTCTAATAGTATAATGCACAGTAACTGCACTCCTATCTAACTAATGTGTTCAGATATCTGGGAGCAGATCTGTCAGCAGATGGGTTTATGAAGGGCGAGGTTAACCATAGAACTGATGAAGGAAAAAAGGTGAGTGGTGCATTGAGGTATCTGTAGAGACAAAGAACGTTATCCATGGAGGCAAAGAAGGGAATGTACAAGAGTATAGTGGTACCAACACTCTTATATGGGTATGAAGCATGGGTTGTGAATGCTGCAGTGAGAAGGAGGCTGGAGGTAGTGGAGATGTGTCTAAGGACAATGTGTAGTGCAAATATTATGCAGAGAATTCGTAGTGTGGAAACTAGAAGGTGAGGAGTTACTAAAAGTATTATTCAGAGGGCTGAATAGGGGTTGTTGAGGTGGTTTGGTCATTTAGAGCAAAATAGGATGATCTGGAGGGTGTATAAATCTGTAGTAGAGGGGAGGAAGGATAGGGGCCATCCTAGGAAAAGATGGAGGGAGGGGGTAAAAGAGGTTTTGATTGCAAGGGGCCTGGATGTGCAGCATGTGTGAGCATGTTAGATAGGAGCGAATGGAGACGAATGGTTCTTGGGACTTGACGATCTGTTGGAGTGTGAGCATGGTAATATTTTGTGAAGGGATTCAAGGAAACCAGTTAGCTGGACTTGAGTTCTGGAAGTGGGAAGCACAATGCCTGCACTTTAACCCTTAAACTGTCCTAAGGTAGATCTACGTTTGCCCGCGTAGCACTCCGACCTTGATTTTCTCCATAAGAAACAATGTAAAAAAAAACGTAGATCTATGTGAGCAAACATAGATCTACATTTGGACAGTTTAAGGGTTAAAGGAGGGGTCTGGGATATTGGCTGTTTGGAGTGACATCTAAACTGTCATATCTGGGTCCCTCTGCAAAGACAATGATTATGTGTGAATGATGGTGAAAGTGATGAATGATGGTGAAAGTGATGAATGATGGTGAAAGTGATGAATGATGGTGAAAGTGTTTTTTATTATACTGCTCTATAATAATACTTAATTTTGATTATTCAGGGAATCATTATTGTCCTTTTTATTCATTTTACTCCTGATCCTTTATTTTTCCTCACAAACAACTGTTTTAGTAAAACAAAAGGAAACCTTAGTTTCATATGAGCTAAGTTTAACAAAGATAGAAGGTAAAAATTTTTTATTCACAATGGGGTTACACAAATACATAGATAAAATTCTTGTGGAACCCATAGTAAAAGGTACTAGGAGATATAACTAAAATATGATAGTAAAAAGTACAATTATCAGCATAAAATGATAGCACTGAGGCTACTGTGAATACAAGCAGGTCCTGCTTTACAGCAGTTTTCAAATGTATACCCATTCTTCATTTATCCAGACTTCCTACAATAAATATATACACCACTCACTATAAGCTAATAAAGTAATATAATATCTTTATTTACTACAAGTACTTTTACAAGGTATACAGGCCTAGCTAACATCAATGACACAGTTTTTGTCCCAAGATGCGACCCACACCAATCAACTAACACCCAGGTACCCATTTTACTGATGGATGAACATAGATAACTGTTTTTTTTTTTTTTAATACATATACAATAGTGTAAACATTTTATCAAACTTTTATATGTATTTAAAAGTGAAAAAAGGGCTATGATTCACTTTACAGCGATTTTCACTTTACAGCAGTAGCTCGGAACCTAACCTGGTGTATAAGCAGGGCCCTCCTGTAAACAGTAATTTATAAATAATAAAGAGTGAGGTACATAATATACTAATCATGTGAAAACTTCCTTGGATTCATACCTTAAATACACAAATGACATCTGACATTCTCTTTTTACTTTTATACTGTACGTATCTCAAGTTACCTGAGAGGTAATGGTGCAACGTATGTTGAGCCTAAATCACATTTGGTGTCACAAGTTGTCTCCTTCTCCCGGCGAGTGGCATTACCATCTGCACTAGCTTCACATGTGATAGTTGTACAGGTGTCATAAGGATCCTGAACACTATCCCCAACCTGTGAGATGAGTAGCACACATTCACAAATTTATATATATATACATGTACTTCTAATTTTGAATCATATGGAGTCAGTCTAGGGCAAACTATAATGACATCTGTTGTTAAGTTGGGAAAAGCTCACATTTATTTGAGTTTGTTTAATAATGCATCTGTATCTTGGAATGAAATTACTGTTAACAGAATGTTGTAAGCAAGGGATGACTGTATAGTAAAAAATATTTATATATATATATTTTTTTTTTTTTTTAACAAGTCGGCCGTCTCCCACCGAGGCAGGGTGACCCAAAAACGAAAGAAAATCCCCAAAAAGAAAATACTTTCATCATCATTCAACACTTTCACCACACTCACACATTATCACTGTTTTTGCAGAGGTGCTCAGAATACAACAGTTTAGAAGCATACACATATAAAGATACACAACATATCCCTCCAAACTGCCAATATCCCAAAACCCCTCCTTTAAAGTGCAGGCATTGTACTTCCCATTTCCAGGACTCAAGTCCGACTATATGAAAATAACCGGTTTCCCTGAATCCCTTCACTAAATATTACCCTGCTCACACTCCAACAGATCGTCAGATCCCAAGTACCATTCGTCTCCATTCACTCCTATCTAACACGCTCACGCACGCTTGCTGGAAGTCCAAGCCCCTTGCCCACAAAACCTCCTTTACCCCCTCTCTCCAACCCTTTCGAGGACGACCCCTACCCCGCCTTCCTTCCCCTATAGATTTATATGCTTTCCATGTCATTCTACTTTGATCCATTCTCTCTAAATGACCAAACCACCTCAACAACCCCTCTTCTGCCCTCTGACTAATACTTTTATTAACTCCACACCTTTTCCTAATTTCCACACTCCGAATTTTCTGCATAATATTTACACCACACATTGCCCTTAAACAGGACATCTCCACTGCCTCCAACCGTCTCCTCACTGCTGCATTTACCACCCAAGCTTCACACCCATATATTTATATTATGAAATGAATAAAATCTGTTAGTGGCTTAACAAAAAACTAAATTAAATGTACATTATGATGCTGGTCCATACCTGTACTGTTCCTCCCTCCTCAATTTTAATATTTTACAGTAAGATGAAATAAAAATTTGTATTGATAAAAATGTAGATACAGTGTGAAATACATTACTTGAGTACCCAGGTAAGCACCGAGAGTTGTGTGAAGTGTCTACACTCTTCGACCAGTTTTTACCAGATAAATATGAGTACATTTATTTATGTTATACACCACACATGCATCAAATTGCCATATACAACAATAAAATAAATGCATTTGATCCCAAAACAACTGCAAACAAAAAAACCTATTTACCATCTATCATGGCTCTCATACAGCACCACGGCACGTAAGTGGTGTACGCTGCCCTCGTCGAATGATTTCTAAAACCATCCTTCACTTTAAATACTGAATGTGTGGTTTCCAAATATTTCACCAGTGACAGTGTCTTACCTGCTGTCAGACATCATCCACCCATTTATGTAATCTGGTTATTAGCAGTTAACAATATGTAAATACTGATTAATTAAGGTAGTAAGAAAGTAGCCTAGCATGAAATTTAGACTAGTACTATATCTAATATGTATTGAATTTTGATTTCTGCTTAGATCATGGAGAAACTGATTCACTGCAATAAGTTGGAAAATGAATGGACTATTTAAAATATATGTTGACTACATTAGTGAATCTGTACTGTAAAATGTGTCGTCCATGCACAGTGATCGTGTGAATTTCGTTCTTACAACATGAATTATTGGTAAGAAAGAGGTACTGTACAGTAGTAGCATATATGTGAATTTGTAAACAAGGCAAGGGACTATCTACAGAAGTAGAATAAGACAGACTACAGTAGTAAAGAGATGAAAAACAAGGTGAATGAACAGATGATACAGTAGTACAGTTGTAATATCAAGTGAGAGACTAATATATAATACCAAGGATTGAGACTAATTTGGATAGACATAATATTTATTATATGAGAGAGTACTTGATTCAAAAAACAGAATATGGTATAAAAACATATAGAGAACAAATAGACACAATATAGTAGTACAATGGAAAGAATGTGAACATGGAGAAATGAGTGTTGTTACTCAAGGAAGTCAATAATAATACATGAATGTTTGTATGACAGGGAAAAAAAGTTCAACTTACAGGGATGGGACTATCATTCATTAGGCAAGCCGTTTTGGTGTGTACAGAACAACACTGGTCAGCTACTTTGTTTTCCTCAAACACATATTTCTTCAGGTCTTCTTCACCTGGTTTGGCACACTGAGCCTCTACAGCCTGGATTTGGATTTGGTCCTAAAAATGCCAATGAGATATATTTAAATTTGCATGGATATTTTTTTTTTAACACACTGGCTGTATCCCACCAAGGCAGGGTAACTAAAAAGAAAAACGAAAGTTTTCCTTTTTAAATTTAGTACATAAATTATATAGGAGAATGGGTTACTAGCCCCTTGCTCCCAGCATTTTAGTCACCTTTTACAACACACATGGATATACATTTATTATTTCAAACCATTTAATACAAATTAAAGTATTGGTACTTGAATGAACTACAAAAATAAATGCATTAAATGCAAAATTTGCGTATATTCACAAAAAAGTAATATGCACGGGTTACACAGCCCTATTTAGTTATTATTTATGTATCATATAATTTCAGGTAATGACAATCAAAATTCAAATGCATACACGAGCTGATGAAAAAAACCCTCGGTAATCAAGTCTGCTTACATGTTTATCTTTTGTGCAAGTATAGGTGGTGCAGAGGTCATCTGATATCCAGGTTTCATTCACAGCTTTCACTTCACTCTCTACAACGCAGGCAACCTGTAAAGTGTTTAGAATTAGAAATGTTGTACATTATATAATGTATTTATGTACAATCAGTGAAGTAGTTTGTCTTTTATCTCTCTTCATCATACAAATTCTTGTTTTTAGTGGGAGGCTAAGAAAGAAATAAAAGTCTTTAAAAGGAGTAAGTTATTAAGCATTTTCTGAACATCTGAGACCAGAGTCCTAGCTTAACTAAATGTTACTGATACATTTAATTTGTGATCCGCAAATATTACTAAATTTAAAACAATTAAATAGAAAGGACTAGACACAATACAACTACTAAATTAAAAACTAAAGGGGTGGAGAGAACTACAGACACTACTGTCCAGTACAGTATATACTGGTGAGGTAGATGGCAGTATTACAGATACACATCTGAAGTGATGAAATATGTAGGAATTTATTCTAGTGAAATTCGGTGTGCTCTATCCATTTCTTTAGTGACATCTGCATGAAAGTTAATTTTAAAGCTTACAATATCTACTTATACAGAACAGCTTGAGTTTAATTCCATACATAATACGTATACACTTAAAAATAAAAAAAATTGAATACTGGTTTCCAGGTAGATAGGATTTTGCTGTATTACAATGTATAATGTCAGGTTACACGTGTTTCAAATAGGATAAAAGATAATTTGTGTGCTAAGATAGCATCTAGGAATAAATTGTGAAAAGAAAAAAAATCATAAAATACATACTACCCATGTTAGAAAATATTTAACCCTTTCAGGGTCCGTCCCGTAGATCTACGGCTTTACGTTCAGGGTCCAAACCGTAGATCTACGCCATGAGCTCAGCTCACTCTGATAAACTGTGAGTGGTACATTTGGGCCTAGATATGAGAGAATACATCTATGTGGTATGTGTGCACCACATAAAACAGATCCTGCAGCACACTGTGCATAATGAGAGAAAAAAAATGAAATCATGATTTTTCGATTAAAACAGCAACTTTGCAGTGTTTTTTCGTATGTTTTTTATAGTTGTATTTGCGATTTCTTGGTCTCATTTGATAGAATGGAAGACATATTACAGAAATAGAGATGATTTTGATTGGTTTTAGCATTGGAAATGGCTTGAAACTGAGCTCAAAGTAACGGAAATGTTAAATTTTTGCCGATATTCAAGAGTAAACAAACGACCTCACACGTCTAATACACATCAGCTGGTGGGTCTAATATACATTCACAAATATGGTGATGATATTTATACAATTATTACAGTATTGCATAACAGTAAATCTTCTATTTTTTGGTGTTGAATAAAAATTCATTATGTGAATAAAAAATCAAAATGGAATTTATTTGTAAAGCCTCAAAACATAACTAATGAACAGAGGAAATGTTAGTTTAGTGCCAGGAATGCCTACATTGTTCATTCTGGACCCTATTTTGAAATTGGAATATTTTGAACTTTGGGTTAAATTGGCCAAATTAACAATTTCCGATCACTTTATTTTGTAGTTGAAACAGTTGACTTGGCGATTTCTTGTGCTCAATCGATAGAATAGAAGTAATACTAGTGAAATAGCTAAGAATTTGGTTGATTGGAATAATGTAATTGGCCTAAAATGGGAGTCAAAGTCGGCAAAATCGCCGATTCGTAAATATCGCTGACACATCAAAATTCGCGAGAGCATAATTTCGTCAATTTTCCACCAAATTTCGTACTTTTTGTTTTATTACCTTCACAAAAAGATTCTCTACGATTTCATAAGAAAAAATAACAATTTTTTTTTTTTAAATATCTTGGACACTGGTGCGTGACTCCAGATTTGGGCCTTGGACCCTGAAAGGGTTAAAAGAGTAAAATATTCACCTCCACACATCATTCTTTGTATTTTATGAAAAACAGCACTGCAACTACTCTGAATTTCCTTTTACCATGATACTGTGTTCAATTTAGGTGTACAACATGCCCTTCATACAAATGACCGATGTACAGTTGACTTAAAGTTCCTACCAGGACCCATGGCCTGGTAGGCAATGCTCTCACTTCATACAGTGAGTGTCTGTGGTTCGATTCCCAGTAAGGGTGGAAATACTGGGAGTGGTTTCTTACACTTGCTGTCCCCGTTCACCTAGCTAACAAGTAGGTACCTGGGAGTTAGTCGACTGGTGTTCGTTGCATCCTGGGGGACAAGACTAAAGGACCCCAACAGATACATGTATAAGACAGATGGTCCTTGATGATGAACTGACTTTCTTGGGTTATCCTGGGTGGCTAACCCTCCAGGTTAAAACTCTGAACAAAATCTTATCTTACCTGGACACACTGTCCACAACATTGTGTTGGGAAGAGAGGTGAAGGTTCATACTCCCAGCCTGCACCACATGCTTCATCACATGAGTAGATCTTTTCAATTTTATCTACTTTGCCTTCTGGAGACTTCACACATTCCACACTTCGACATCCATTCAGAGGATCATTAAGTGTCTCTCCAATCTGAAGAATTATTAAATACCTAATATCTGTCTAAAGCAATTCTAGAAATAATACAAAATTAAAGGGAAAAAAATCTAGTATCTTGCAATGAGTTACTACTTCTAACAATATAGATTGGGAACAAGCATCCCTGTTATATCAAGAACTTTGTAATTACAAAAGAAAACTAACTGAATCATTCATAATTGTAGCTATTCCAAGCTTAAACATTTCATAATGTAGGTATAAATATTTAACATCTTACAAGGTTAATGGAAACTTTGAAACCTAGGGTTATAAATCCTTTTCCCTAGTCATCTCTTCATGTGCTTGACAGCTCCTGCACCTAACTTACATTGTGTAACATAGATTATATGTAACATAGATTATATGTATATAAGTTTCAACCCTTGTACACTTTTTAACCTTCTAGAGGGCCTCAATATGAGGCTGAATTAAACATATATTTCTTAAGGTTTAGTTTTATTTTCCAAAACAGACTTAAATTTGAATTTGTGTCACTGCACTGCTTATTTTAGATATACTGTATGTACTATATCTTATTTTGGACATAGAGCACACAGAGTATATATTTTAACTCATCTGTGGCTTCACACCAAGTTAAGGTGACCCAAAGAAGAACTAAAGAAAAATCATTCACCATCATTCATTCCTTTGCTGTCTCAGCCTTACAACTCAAGTCCAGTGAAGTGGTTTCCTTGAATATCTTCACAGATGTTACCTTGTTCACATTCTAATAGCATGTTAATTCCAGTGGATAACATGACCCTTCCTCCCATCATCATGGTCTCACACTCCAATATATGTCTGCTAGATTTGCAGCCTACAAACCTTATTTGGTCAACACCTGATTTATACATACTAACCTATCTCCTTCAATATTCTCTTTTTTTTTCAAGCCAGTTATAAAAGATTTTAGCACAAATTAATCTATGTAAAAAAGGGAATAACTCTAACAAATTTTTTTTTTAACTTGTCGGTCATTTCCCACCAAGGAAGAGTGACTCAAAAAGAAAGAAAAACCTAAAAAGAAAGAAAACACTTTCATCATCATTCACCATTTTCACCATCACTCATACATAATCACTGTCTTTGCAGAAACGCTCAGATACGACAGTTTACATCCCTCCAAACTGCCAATATCCCAAACCCCTCCTTTAAAGTGCAGGCATTGTACTTCTCATTTAAAGGACTCAAGTCCAGCTAACCAGTTTCTCTGAATCCCTTCACAAAATATTACCCTGTTCACACTCCAACCATTAATTTTAGAGCATTTAGCACACCAGCTGGGGTTAAGGAATCTTTGTAGTGAGTTTGGTGAGGTTTTGTCTAATATTTGTTGCTTTATAAAATGGCTACCATGAAACTACACTACCCAATTATAATACAAATCTTAGTACACTGTATTGTGAAAATATGGTATACAAATCTGTACATCTTAAGTTGATGTGGCAAGATGTCTACAAATTAGAGCAGAAGCAAACAAATAAAATGTTTCATAACTAATACTGTAGTGTATTTCTAGCACTGTATGATCCTTGTGGGTTTAGAGCTTGGTTTTGATTATAAAAATGATGTATTGCATTTCATTAAAAAAAATACTCACATTAATAACTTCATAGTCATCAATACAAGCAGTTCTGATTACTGTCGGACAGCATTGACCTGGTGTTTCTACACTCTCCAACTCATACTCGCCACGATCTGGATGACTGTCAAGAGTTGGGCACGTGTGCTGGGTACAATGGTGTCGTGAATGACCCTCATTTTCTTGTGTACATTTACAAGTCAGGCACAAGCCATCTGTCCAGCTTTCATCAGCCTATGAATGGTCACAAATTTTTCAATAATAACTTCTTTTGTAATAAAATACTGATGTAAAAAATCAAAGTGCTCTGCTATATTCATGAAAATAATAAGTACAAAACAAATAAATTATTATATAAAAAATACAATTGAAACTAATTCTGCATTCTAAAGTTCATTACTGTAGCAGAGAAAATGCAGCTACCTAACTTTTTAAAATACAGTAGTACCCCGAGTTTCTTGCATAATTTGTTCCAAAAGGCTGTTCGAGTGCCGTTACTGAATGAATTTGTTCCCATAAGGAATAATGTAAATTAGATTAGTCTGTTTCAGACCAACAAAAATACACTTACAAAAGCACTTAAAATAATACACCTACATAATTGTTTGAGTTGGGAGCTGTACGAAACTCGGGGTACCACTATATTTTATTTCTGACTATGCTCTATATTCTATTTCAATTCATGGTATGTAATTGGTTTACCAGCTCATACATAAAAAAAAGGGAAATGTAAAGAAAAAAAAAAGGAATGTAGAGTATACAGGGGCACATAAACAGCTGAAGATTAGAGCAATGTGGAATTACAGTCTATAAAGTGCAGGGAAAAATATTTCTATCTATGGTGGTCATTATATATATTTTAGATACAGTGGACCCCCGGTTTTCGTCCTTAATCTGTTCCAGAAGGTTGGTCGAAATCCGAAATGGACGAAAACCGAAGTAATATTTCCCACAAGAAATAAAGTAAATCCAATTAATCTGTTCCAGACATCCAAAAATATTAACAAAAAATAAATTTTATAGAGAATAATTATAGTGTTGCAGCTCTTCGGTGGTTAGCTCTTTCCTGTAGTTGTCCACCAACTCTTCCACATCTTGGCCACTCACATCCAACCCCATGGACTTCCCCAAAGCCACAATACATTCCACAACAGGCATAGGGTTATATTGGGTTAGTAATGGAACTAGACATTAAAAAACACAATAAAAAGTAAAATACATACACAGTACACTCAATACTTTCCTTAAAATATTTGTAGTCTTAATGTAGGGTGAGTGGTGAGTAGCATTTATTTGTAGGAAGTCAGTGTAGGTAGCTGGTAGGTGTGGGTAGCCGGTAGGTAGCCTGGGCTACACCTACCGGTTACCTACACTGCGGCCCAGAGCCACATAATTACCATCGACATACCATGTTCACTGAGCTTAATCATTTCTAATAACTACAGCCTCTCCTTGCTTAACGATGGAGATAGGGACCTAAGACCCCGTCGGTAAACGAATTCGTCGCTAAACAAGAAACATACTATAATGGTAGTGGATTTGTGTCAACTATCTTTGATATTGTTTTAATGTCACCTTTACAAACCATACCATGGACAGGATAGAACCCGCAATCAGAGAGTCTTAAAACTCCAGACTGTCGTATGGTTTGTTTACAATCGTGTCATTACAATTTCATGAGTCATGTCACCTTTACAGTATTTAGGTATAAATACTGGTCGGAGAGCCCATCGTAAGTCTGAGGCGTTGGTAAATGAGTACGTCGCTAAGTGAGGAGAGGCTGTACTTTATATGCCATCGCAGACAAAGGGAGAAATAATGAATAATTCATGCTGAGAATTGTAAACAAAAGCTTTATATATTAAGGGTGGTGACTGGGCCAATGCAGATTCATACACGTTTTCTCTAATGCTGGACCAGAGAAAACGTAATGTTTTCCCTCCACCGACTACCACCCTTCCATAGCATAGATGGATTAATGAAAATGTCTATATTAACATAAAATAAGACATGTAATGTGCCCAAGAGTGATTATTATTAAACATACATAGCATATAAACAATGCATGTTTATATGCTATGTAACGTGTTTGAAGAAAATATCAAAGATGAATTAATGAAAGTGTCCATATTAATGTAAAATAAGACATTTAATGTGCAGACGATTTCTGAGCGGATGTACAAAACCCGGGGTAAATGTTTGCCGAAAAAAGTGGTCAAGATCTGAATTGTACGATTTTCACACCGGACGAAATCCGGAGGTTCACTGTATTATGTATCTGTTTGTCATTCTTATCCAGCCTTTCCATAGGTGAATAATTATCAATGATACTCAGGAGATAATGATAAATTATGTATCATTTTACTTATGCTGTTGCCTGAAAATATGAGCATCTCATTTGAGTCTTCATTAAGAGTTATGAGGACAAACTTAATTAGAAAGTAAGCAATTAAACTATACAAAAGTATTTCCTTACTGTCACCTGAAAAGTCTGAAAATCTTTGTTCAGCTGATTAGTAATATAAAAATATTTTAGTAACAGGGATCTGATAACTGACTAGTACATCAGCACACCATAACACTTCCATTTATCTTTATGCCCCCAATAAAAACTATCTCACATTTTTCCAATTACTGTGTCTCCAACATCTGTTTTGTTTATTATAAATTAGCACTCTAGTTTGTCAATACATAACACTAATATAAATGACTTAACATTGATAAACTTAGTTGCCGCAATATAAGTTTGCTACAATGCTTGCTCAGAATAAAATTTTTTTGCCCTTTTTTACAACATCAATATAAAGATGAGGAAAAGAGTAACACAAAACATTAATGAGAGTTCCTGCAGAGGTAGACATGACTGCCACAAGAAGTGCAAGAACATGAAAGCTGCCTGCAATGGGATAATATACTATTACCTTGTATAATTTCTTCTGAGGCACATCAGAATCACTCACTGGTTGTTGATTGCCAACGATATCAATATAATATTTGTGCTGATATATGCATGCATCTGCAGGAGGTTCTGGAGAATGGAGTGTACACATAAGATATTACTATTACCAAAACTCAGGTAGAGTTCCCCAGAAATGACTAGTTTTTTAACTATTATAAATAAAGGAGGAATAAAATAATAAGTATTACAATGAATGTGAGAACAATACTACATAAAATTCATAAAAAACTATAGCATCATTAAAATGACTAAAACCTGTCTGAAAACTTTTGCTCTTCCCTACAGTACTTGTACTGGTATTCATTTGTTAAACTGAGTGTTTTATGACCCTAGTGGGTTTAGCGCTTAGTTATTATTGTGATAATAATAATAATAATAATAATAATAATAATGATAATAATGATCTAAAATGAGTGTTTAACACATATTGTTTCTATATCCCTTAACTCTTGTTATTACTGAAATAATTATTCTAAAAAATTTTGGCTGTATCTCTATATATTATGCTTCGTATTCTTCAACTTGTTTCCTACACTCACTCATACTGGAGATGTTTTAACATATTTTTTATTGTCTATTCTGGACGAAAACTCTTCAGATTAAGCAAGACTGGTAATCCCTGACAAAGTGAAGATACTAAACAAGTTCGATAATGTAAACCCCAATCATTTTTTCAAATGATATACCCTGTACATGGGGTCCCTTAAAGTTTGTAAAGTGATCTTAATCCAAGGAAGCTGAGCAACTCTTCCCTTCCTATAATCAAACCGCATTACTACACCTTTCATTTCTCTGGTGCAGTGTGACCTTGATGAGTTTAGTGCTTCCCCATGAATATAATAATAATTTGAGTGTTATAATGTGACAGATAACACAAGGTAACAACCAAAATCCTTTCTCACCAAATGGAGGGTTCAAACCCATGGCAAGCCAGTCCTAAAACTAGCAGGCCAGTGTGTTGTTCACTGCACAATGCATGCTGTGCATTTAAACCCTTCATTCTGTGGACGGTTTACAAACATTTCATTAGGATTTCACAAGCCAACAAAATCTTAATAAGTCACAATGCACCTCAGACAACAAGAAATTCTACATCTCAAAAGCTTAATAAACCTGTAGAACACCACTCACTAAAGCTGTCAGTGCTAAAATTGTGCATATAAAATTTATCTGGAAAAAGTCATTACAAAATGCAAAATGAGGAAACCTTCCATAAGTTTTGGGCTTACTGTCTGTCCCAAGGTCATTCAGTACTTCAGGTTACCCACCTATAAACACTTTATTTGTACAAAAGAATATGTTACACACACTTTTGTAATGCGGCTTCTTGATTGTAAAACTTTTAACTGGTATTTACCTAGGTACTCTGTTTGTCAATGATGCTGTGCATAATTTGAGGCATTTGTAAATTAGGAACTGCATATATTGCTACCCTAATTTACAAAAGAAGTTGAGGTAAAAATCTTGCTATGTTCAACTAGCATTCTTATATTACAATACAGCTTGTCATACATAAGACTATGCGGTCTACAAGCCTACATTACCCAACTTTGGAGATAGTATACCTGTGAAGTAAACATTAAAAGAAAAGAACATACCACATGTGGTCTTAGGGCAACACTCGCCATCCTTCACTGATTCTTCTGTCAAGACATGGAATTCTGGACATGTGACTTCTGGACACTCTCCAGTACATTGCATGGTGTATCGAGCACAACACCCAGTGTCATCCAGTGTCCATTCTTCTCCTGGCAGACATAATGTAAGAGGTTAGGAAGGTCAGCATTACATATATAACCAATGTTTCTTCCCTGTATGTCTTATATGAATGTAAAAGATTTAGATCCATCTATGTAGGTGCTCACATCCTTTACCTGGTTTAAGATCATTATCATCAGGAGTGACTAGCTGAGGACAGTCTTCTGGCTCCAAGCATACACAGGCATACTGAGGACAGACGCCTGGGGCTTCTATTACCTTCTGTCGTTGACCATACCCACACCCATCTTTTGGCTCAACTGGAGGAGGACAATCTTCAGTAGGCTTTACCTTGCACTTCTTTCTTGGACCACAACAGTCATCCCCGGTTCCATTGATCTATTGAGAAGTAAGCACATTTATATGTCTTTTTAACCACATTAGTACTAATTTCCTACCAGGTGAGTGACCCAAAGAAAGAAAAAAAACACTCATTATCACTCAAGCATTAGCTGTCTTGCCAGAAGTACATGGACATCACAATTATTCTGTAATAAACACTGAATAATCAACTTAAATCTTATGCAAATTATATATGCATAAATTGGCTAGTTGAAGTACTAACCTCCACCACAATATATCCTTCATCACAGATTGGGTCACCAGGGCATGTCTTGGTACTGCAGCTGCTGCCTTGGCTAGTACATTCACATGTAGTACAAGCATCTATCTGCCATACATCACTAATTCTATGTCCTTCCTCATCACATGTCTTACAGTAGCTAGCATTGATGCATCTTCCTTTATCCAGTGCCTGAAATATTTTTAGTTGAGTCTATTAAGATACAAAGCTTTTATATGGCACTATGGTATTTCCACAATATTAATCATATAAAAAAAAGCAGTGGTGATATGTCTCCTTCCGTGAATATTTTGATGGTACGTATGTAACTATTTCCAGGACCATATTTGTATAATATGGCTATAAGTTTTTATTATTTTGGAAAAGATTGAAAAATCTTAAAAATGTGAAAAACTACTGTTTTTTTGCTTATAGAGTTTTCAGGCATCTTAAGAAAATAAGGTGCTGAAAATTTTCACAAATACTTTTAATAGTCCATTATACTGTAATGTAGTGCAGTACTACAAATGAAAAATTATACAATGCATAAAAAAATACTATATAGAAAACTTGTGAAGAGCATGAGCTAAGAAAGATCACAGAAACTCACCATGCCATCAGGACAGAAGCAGCCGTCAACAGGGGATATGGGACAAGCGTCAGGGTTACTTTGAAGCTCCTCATAGTTTTCACATGTACGTACACAGCCTGATGCACAAGCATGATACTCCTGACCTGCAATGACCCAAAATATATTGTAATACATTTTCATACAGCATACACTCCTCAATAAATTAGAAACCATAATATTCATCTTTCCTTTCAGAATAACAAATACGTACTTGTATAAATTTACTCATATGATATATGTACCTCCATTGCAAGCCTTTGGACACAGTTCTTCTGAACGCCAGTCTAGACAAATGTCTAGATCAGCACAGCGCCTGGCATAAGCTTCAAGACTGTGGCATGCTGCAACTTGTGGCTCACGGCTACCACAAGCATCAAGCTGACATGATGACACATATGCTGCTGGATCCTCCACTGGATGGCACTGGTGGAAATTTAAAAAATATATTTTTTTTTTTTTTCAACAAGTCGGCCGTCTCCCACAGAGGCAGGGTGACCCAAAAAGAATGGTCAGTGATCAGTACGCTGAGGTCAGTGATCACATGTGGTCATCCTCATCCTAAGCTGTCTGGGATTAGAGTGGGGTGTTACCTAGCACCATGGCTTGTTGTAGTGTTTTAGAATCCCACGTTAAAGTGTTGAAGAAGGAGATTCTACTTCTTCAGGAGGAAAATAGGAGGCTGAAGCTTTGCCTAGATGGGTTTGGGAGCGAGTGTGAGATGGTTGTAGCTGGTGAGGAGGAAAAAGTTACCAGCAGTGATTTGGAGAGTGGCAGCAGCTTTAAATGGCAAGTGGTTCACAGTTCAGGAAGAAGGACGATAAGGAAAGTTAATCGAGAAGATGTGAAGGCAGGAAATCAATTCTCTGTTCTCCAGGATGAGTATACTTCAGTGGTTAGTGAGATTAAAGGTACCACTGACTTCACTGCTTATCAAGGTAAGAATATTCTAATTGTGGGAGATTTTCAGGTAAGATATATGGACTGTGCTTTTTGTAACAGAGATAGAAAGGTCAGACAGAGGGTGTGTCTCCCAGGAGCTGGTGTTGGTGACATAGTCAGCAGGTTGGATAATATTATGTCAGGCAATGGGAACAAGTCTGTCTTTGTGCTGGTGGAAATGACATTGGGAATGGCAGGAGACAGGAGCTGCTGGATAAGTATAGGTCAGCCATAGATGTAGTCAGGTCTAAGGGAGAGATCCCAATCATATGTAGCATCTTGCCTAGAAGGGGAGTGAGCAATGAATGGATGTCTATGGCAATTGGTATAAATTGCTAGCTAGACAGGTACTGCAAGGAACTTGCAATCCCATTCATTGATAACTGGGACATATTTTATGGCAAATGTGATATGTATGCAAGGAATGGGTTTCATCTCTCTGGGGCTGGAGTGGTTGCATTAGCCAATTCAATTGAGGGGATTATTGGTGACATGTCTAGGATTTTAAACTGATAGATTATAGAGGTATGGGTGTCTGTGGGAAACAATCAGGCTTTAGTACTAGGGTTGAAAACAGCAGATATAACCAGGATAGCTCAGGGATATGTTTAAAAGACAATATTCAAAATAAAGTTGCTAGTAAAGGCAAAGCAAATGATCAACAAACAAAGAGAGACAGTAGAGGGCAACGAGTGACTAGCTCCCTTAAGGTTTACTATACAAATAGTAGGAGTCTAAGAAATAAGATAGATGAGCTAAGATTACTTGCAAGTGCAGGTAAAATAGATATTATTGCTATAACAGAGACCTGGTTCAGCTTGAAAGATAGAGAAATGCCTTCTGAATGCAACATACAGGGTTATAAACTATTCCACACTGATAGTCAACAGGAGGGATGGTGGAGTGGTGATGTATGTCAGAAATAATTTAAATTGTTGTGTTAGACAAAAAAAAGATTAGAAACATCGAACACAGAATCTGTTTGGCTACAGTTTCTTGAGGGTCGTGAAAACTTAATTTTAGGTGCGATTTATAGGCCCCCAAACCTTGATAGAGAGTGTAGTAAGCTGCTATGGGACGAAATTCATAAGGCATCTAAATATGAAAATGTTGTGTTAATGGGAGATTTTAACTTTAGACAAATTGATTGGAATAATGTGACAGAAAATCTTGAGTCTAGTGACTTTCTTGATATGAATCAGGATTGCTTTTTAAAACAGTTTGTGACAGAACCAACTAGAGAAAACAATCTGCTTGGTTCTTGCCAACAAAGAATCGCTAGTTAATAATCTTGAGGTTAATGATGAGCTTGGGGAAAGCGATCACAAATCACTTAGTTTCAATATATCAAGGAATTACCCGGATAACTGCAATCAAATCTCTGTCCCAGACTTTAGCTTGGCCGATTTCATGAAAAATTACATGGGTGGGCAAAATTGGGATGTCCTGACTATGGGTCAGGTAGGTGGTCTTGGTTACCAATATGATGTTTTTTCAGAGCATAGTTCTAGCTGCCCAGACAACTTCTGTTATGAGTAGGGAAATTAAATCTAACAAAAATGATCCCAAATGGATGAACAATAGATTAAAACATCTCACTGGTCAAAAGAGAGGCACATATAGGCATATCAAAAGAGGGAAGGGGCAGTTAAGAAATCAGTATATTCAATTAAAGAGAGAAATAAAAAAAGGAATAAGAAAAGCAAAAAGGGATTATGAGGCTAAGGTCACAAGGGATTCTAAGACTAACCCAAAAGGGTTCTTTCAAGTATACAGAAGTAACATTAGGGACAAGATAGGCCCACATAAGAGTAACTCAGGTCAAATCACTGACAGTGATAAGGATATGTGTGAAATTTTCAATACTTACTTCCGTCTCCCACTGAGGCAGGGTGACCCAAAAAGAAAGAAAATCCCCAAAAGAAAATACTTTCATCATCATTCAACACTTTCACCACACTCACACATAATCACTGTTTTTGCAGAGGTGCTCAGAATACAACAGTTTAGAAGTAGTATATACATATAAAGATACACAACATATCCCTCCAAACTGTCAATATACCAAACCCCTCCTTTAACCCTTAAACTGTCCAAATGTAGATCTACGTTTTTTCAACATTTGAAAGTATGTAAAAAAAAGTAGATCTTCTTTTCTTTTTTTACATTTGAAAACTTGTAAAAAAAACTTTGATCTACGTTTTTTTTTTTTTATATTTGAAAATATGTAAAAAAAAACGTAGATCTACTTTTGGAGCACTACGCATGTGAACATTGATCTGCTTGGACAGTTTAAGGGTTAAAGTGCAGGCATTATACTTCCCATTTCCTGGACTCAAGTCCAGCTAACCGGATTTCCCTGCATCCCTTCATTAAATATTACCCTGCTCACACTCCAACAGCTCGTCAGGTCCCAAAAACCAATCGTCTCCATTCACTCCTATCTAACACGCTCACACACGCTGGAAATTCTAGCCCCTCACCCACAAAACCTCCTTTACCCCCTCCCTCCAACCTTTTTGAGGACAACCCCTACCCCTCCTTCCTTCACCAACAGATTTATAAGCTCTAGTCATTCTATTTTGATCCATTCTCTCTAAATGACCAAACCACCTCAACAACCCCACTTCAGCCCTCTGACTAATACTTTAGTAACTCCATGCCTCCTCCTAATTTCCACACTCTGAATTCTCTGCATAATATTTACACCACACATTGCCCTTAGACAGGACATCTCCACCGCCTCCAGCTGCCTCCTTGCCGCAGCACTTACAACCCAAGCTTCACACCCATATAAGAGTGTTGTTACCACTATACTTTCATATATTCCCTTCTTTGCCTCCACAGATAACATTATTTGTCTCCACAGATACCTCAATGCATCACTCACCTTTTTTCCTTCATCATTTCTATGGTTAACCTCATCCTTCAAAAACTCATCCGCTGACACGTCAACTCTCAAATACATATATGAAAACATTCACTTCTTCCATACTCCCTCTCTTCAATTTGATATCCAATTTTTCTTTATCTAAATCATTTGATACCCTCATCACCTTACTCTTATCTATGTTCACATTCAACTTTCTACCTTTACACACCCTCCCAAACTCGTCCGCTAACCTTTGCAACTTTTCTTTAAAATCTCCCATAAGCACAGTATCCTCAGAAAAAAGTAACTGTGTCAACTCCCATTTTGTATTTGATTCCCCATAATTCAATCCCACCCCTCTACCCAACACCCTAGCATTAGCATCTTTTACAACCCCATCTATAAATATATTAAACAACCATGGTGACATTACACATCCCTGTCTAAGACCTACTTTTACCGGGAAGTAGTCTCCCTCACTCCTACACACCCTAACCTGAGCCTCACTATCCTCATAAAACTCTTACAGCATTTAGTAACTTACTACCTATCCCATGCACCTGCAACATCTGCCACATTGCTCCTCTATCCACTCTATCATATGCCTTTTCTAAATCCATAAATGCAATAAAAACTTCCCTACCTTTATCTAAATACTGTTCACATATATGCTTCAATGTAAACACTTGATCTACACATCCCCTACCCACTCTAGAGCCTCCCTGCTCAACTGCAATCCTACTCTCTGTCTTACCTTTAATTCTTTCAATAATAATCCAACCATACACTTTACCTGGTATACTAAGTGAACATTTTTCTTTTTTTTCAACAAGTCGGCCATCTCCCACCGAGGCAGGGTGACCCAAAAAAGAAAGAAAATCCCCAAAAATAAAACACTTTCATCATCATTCAATACTTTTACCATCACTCACACATAATCACTGTTTTTGCAGAGGTGCTCAAAATACAACAGTCTAGAAGCATATACATATAAAGATACACAACATATCCCTCCAAACTGCCAATATCCGAAACCCCTTCTTTAACCCTTTGAGGGTTTTCGTCGTACTAGTACGTTTTACGCGTAGGGGTTTTTGACGTACTAGTACGCATAAATTCTAGCGGCCTCAAATCTAGAGGGAGAAAGCTGGTAGGCCTTCATATGAAAGAATGGGTCTATGTGGTCAGTGTGCACAGTCTAAAAAAAATCCTGCAGCACACAGTGCATAATGAGAAAAAAAAAACGTTGACCATTTTTTTGGAATAAATCAGCGACTTTGCAGTGTATTTTCGTATGGTATTTATTGTTGTATTCTAGTTTTCTTGGTCTCATTTTATAGAATGGAAGACATATTACAGAAATTGAGATGATTTTGGCTGGTTTTACAAAGAAAGGTGCCTTGAAATTGAGCTCAAAGTAGCAGAAATGTTCGATTTTTACCAAACTTCAAAAGTAAACAAATCGTGCCAAGCGTGCAATACACGTCAACTGGTGAGTCTAATATTCTTTCACAAGTGCACCAATAATATTTATACCATTTTTTACACTAATGCAGTAGTCTGCATAACAGTGAATCTTATATTTTTTGTGAGAATAAAAATTCAAAATGGA